TGAAGTATTTGCAAAAACAAGTACAAAACCAACCCAAAGTTAGTAGACAGAAAGTAATAACAGAACAGAACAGAAGTAAATGAGATGAGGAGTCAGGAGAAAGTACACAATATCTGTGAGGTGAAGAACAGTGCTACCAAGACTATAAAAGACATGTTCAAGTGATGGTATCCCTCATCTTACCTAAGGAATAAAAAAAGAAAAAACTCAAAAACAATCTGATATAAAATGGTAGATACTGCAACCAATACCGTAGAAATTCAAAGAATCATTAAGTGTTAAGTATTACGAAGAACTGTATGCCAACAAATTTGACAACCTAGAAGAAATCAACAGGTTCCTAAACAAAGTGGCCTTACCAAAACTGACTCAGTAGGAAATAGAAAACCTTGGCAGACCAAGAACATAGAACAAGATTGAATAAGAAGCCTTCTGCCAAAGAAAAACATAGAGCTTGATGGTTTCAATGATGAATTGTATCAAACACTTAAAGAATTAATTCTAATTAAGTTATTCCCCAAAATATAAGAGAGATAATTTCTTCCAAACACATTCCATGAGACCAGCAGCTTTATCCTAACACAAAAACCAGATAAAGACAGAAAACAGCAATATTGTTGATGGGCATACCAATCCTCAACTACTCAAAAAATATTAATACACAGAATCCAAGAAAACATTAAAAGTTTGCTGCACCATAATCAAGTGGGATTCATCAAACAAAAAGTAGGATCATTGTATATATCCAAATCAATAAACTTGACACAGGACCTCAATAGAGTAAAAGGTAAAAGGCAGATGATTGTCTCAATAGATTCAGAAAAATGGCAAAATTTACCATATTTTCATAATAAAAATGCTAAACAAATTAGGTAGAGAAGTAGCATATATCTACCTAATAAAAAACGTATGAGCAAGGCATACATGCTACATCTCTATATACACATGCATATCACTTGTGATTACCAATGCTAACTTTATACAGACTTGCATGAAGTTGAAAATTTTCCATATAATAGCTGAAACAAGTCAAATATGCCTATTTTCTTCTCTTCAATATAGTTCTAGAAATACCAGCTAGAGTAATAAGAGAAATGAACATATATTTCCCCAAAATTCCAACAAAAATTATGAGAACTAATAAACTAATTCAGCAAATTCTCAGGAAACAAAATCAGAATACCAAAATCAGTAGCATAGGTACACACAAAAAGAAAGCACACTCTCAACCAAACAGGCAAGAGGGAAGATAATATGCTTTGGCACACACATAGTTTACACATAGTAAGTCCACAGCTGACATCACTTCCTGTGATGACGATGCTGAAAGGATGGCCTTTAAAGCGAGTGTTGTTTACAGTGTCGCGCTGCCAGAGACTCTCACGAGAAAGGCTTGGTCACTCATGGGACGACACCCAGGGTGGGCCCAGAGAGGTAACGGGATCATCAGGGCACTGTCTTCGTGAACAGATCAACCCATAAGCAAGCTCGTGGTTGTCAGTGTTTATAAGGAGGTAGGGCTCAGTGGAGAAAGGATGTAGATGAAAGGGTATGTTCTGTCCCCAGCCCCTTCCTTTCTCCTTGGCTCTTCCTATGCCCTCTGCTTCCCTGATGCCAGGAGTTCAGCTGCTTTTCTCTGCCCCACCTTCCCACATCAGGCTCGGCCCTGGATCCCCAGCCATCCCTGGATGGAAACCTTGGACCCATGAACCAGAAGAAACCTGCTCTCCTCTGAGTGGTGTACATCAGGAATTTTGTCCTAGCAACCAAAAGATGACCCGTACAATCAGGAAAAATACGATACTCACTGTTGCCCAATCTATTCAACATTATTTGAAATTTAACCAAGTGGGCAGAAGGAAGGAATTAAAAGGCATCCACATTGGAATTGAAGAAGTAAATATGTTTCTGTTTGAAGATCAGATGGTCTCCTATATAAAATACTTTTTGAAGCCTCTATGAAAAAAGCTTTCAGAACGAACAAATGAGTTCAGCCAAGTTACAGGATGCAAAATCTACATACTAAAGTCAGTTCTGTTTATTACACTAATAACAAAGTATTGAAAAATAAATTCAGAAATGTATTATAAATTTAACAAATGTGTGGAAAGACAACATAAAAATTATAAAACATTAGTAAAAGAAACTGAAGAAGACATAAAAATATGAAAAGATTTCCCATGTACATGCATTAGAAGAATTATTATTTAAAATGTCCTAAAATTATCTATAGACTATGCCAATGATCTTTTGATTTTAATTGCAAAATCATGGACCCAAACCCCAAAATAGGCAAACGTTACAGCACCAAAGAAAAGATCTTCAAAGCGGCAAAAGAAACAATAAATAGAGCGAGGAGGTAACATATAAAATGGGAGAAGATTTTTGCAAATCATCCAACTTTAAAGGCTTAATATCCAAAATATAGAAGTAAATCAACTCAATAGCAAAAGAACAAATAACAAAAGCAAAAATGGGCAAAGAATATGAAGACACATTTTTTTAAAAAAAAAAAAAAGACAAAAAATATTTAACATTCCCACCATTAACAAAATCAGGGAAATGCAAACCAAAACTACACTCCACACCACCTCTCCCTGGGCGAATACATACCCACAAACAGGAGACGCATTGGTAAGGGAAAGCAGAAAAGGAAACACTTCTGCTCCCTTTGTGGAATGCAAATTAATAAATTATAGGAAACATGGTGAAGGGTTTCCAAAAACTAAAAAGTGAGCTACCGCATTATGTAATAACGCTAAGTATCCACTCACAGATGAGAAAAGGAAATTCACACACACACACACACACACGCACACACACAGAGGTAAATATTATTCAATCTTAAATAAAAAGGCCTAGTGATCCACTCACAGCACGGTGACGGTAGTTACTAATATTATATTGTATACTCGTTTGCTGGAGTACCATAAAAATTTAAAATATAACTGAGGTGGCAAATATCTTACCGATACGACTGGGATAACCATTTCACAGTATCTCTGGAGGATACTGTGCACTGCGTACATATAGTTGCACTTGTCAGGTATTCCTTGGGAAAGCTGCGGGAGGACGAAGCAGCAAAGAACGACTCTCAGAGAAGTGACCGTTCTCCGGGTACATCGACTCACCGGCGACAGCAGCAGAAGTGCAAGGGAGATGAGGAAGACGGCAGCTCGGAAGATCACAAGGGTCACAGCCAAAGATACACTGTCTTACGATTCACTGTGCAGCTTGCAAGAGATGTTATTAGGAAATAAAAACCACGAGGCTAATTCTAAAAGGAAAACAAGTGACAGAGATTTGTTTACCATGACAACAGCTTCTGCGGAGACCGGGTGATAGTAGCACAGTCACCAAGGTCCGACCCTAGCGGAGGAAGCAGGAAGGGGAGGGCAAGGGGCTGGGCCCGCCTTGGGAGCTGGTGACCCAGCTTTTCACTCATGCTGAGCGGACTGCACTCGCAGAGGTGCTCGTTATTTGGTTTATACCTGTCTTGATGTCAGTAGACCACTCACAAGGAAAGAAAAATAGTGACTGGATTTGGCAATCTGTGTTTTGAAAATGAGGAAAGCATCGTCAGTGATGAGGTGGAGGTAGACGATGTTTATTCTCTCTTGGGAGATACTGGGAAGTGAAACTGGGGCCATCGGCCCGCTTTCTGTTTTTTATTTTGAGAAAAGGTCTTGCTAAGTTTCTAAGCTGCCCAGGTTGAACTTGAACTTGGGCTGGGATTCAATCCCTGCGGGGAACCCTGAAGAAACACTGTTTTTAACATAAAGTACTTCCTATTCATTCTTTCTTTAAAAACGATGCAAAAGAAAATACACACACTGACAAAAGGGTCAAAATGTTTTAAAGTTAGTTTATTACAAGGAAAAGAACAACAGTAAAGTAAAAGTTACACGAGGAAAGGGTGCTCACACTGGACAACGTGAGTGAGGGTGGAGGCGAGCGGCTCCAAGCCTACGCCACAGCAGGCACGCGCGAGGTCA